TACCTGCTATATATGCTACTATGCGACTACCTGAGAGAGAGAGAGATAGAGATAGAGTATGGAATATAGAAGAGAAAGCCATTTAACTAGAGAACTTTAGAAGCGAACAGCGAACTTGAAGAGTTTTGTTTTTGCTCTATGCTGAAGCAACTGCAGCTCTTTGGGGGAATACCTAAACATGTCTTGACTTGACTTCACATCCAAGCTTCGCGCTCTCGAAATTCATCCCACTTCAAACTATTTCAGCCGAGAATGCAGCAGACGAGCATCACTGACTGCCTGATGCTCGCTCACTTGAAAATCTCAGGCGAAGGCGAAGGCGAAGTCTGCAGTAGCTTAGCTTGGCTCTAAAACAACAGATGGACAGACAGATGGACTACCAGACAGCAAATCAAATCTAACATAAAAGCCAATATACTCTGCTTCACTTTCGGAATGCCCATAAACATTATATGAAATGCCAAAGTTTTCGCGTCGCGCTGTCTGGCAGCAAACGCCTCTTGCTTGAGGCGTTCGTCTGACACCTCAGCTGAGGCCATGACACGCGTGCCCTGCCCCCTCCCTGCCCCTGCCCCTGCCCCTGCCCAGCCCTTCGCACATCAATCAAATGTACATAGACAGACATAAACGGAAATGCGAATATCTTAAATACTCGGGCGGCAGCCTGTGAGCTTTTGCGCTGAAAATGTCACACGCCAATCACAAAAATTTGTTTGCCAGGTCGTCGTTAGCAGCCAACAGATATGCCTATAAATACATGTATGTGCATGTCTTGTATATGTATTTACAGCTATACACAATTGGAATAGATATAATATGCATGCGGCGCAGAAGCAGGAGCAGGAGCGGGAGCAGGAGCAGGAGGAGCGCCCATTCATACATCATATTTAGATGGCGTCGACCTTTTTGGCCATTTGTTTTGTGCAACACTTTTTGGGGTCGCGTCTGTTTTTAGGCCGTCGCTTCTGACAGCCAATGCAGGGAGTGTTACGAGTTGGGTCTTTAAATAGAGAGTGAAAAGTTTGCTGGACTAGCAAATATCCTAACTAAGGGGAATGGAATGTAAAAGAGGATATATACGAAAAGAGAGCAACAGAAAGTAGTTGATATTTCAGGTATATAGCACACCTAAAAAAGGAGGAGTCTAGCCTACGATCATAAGCCTCTGCTAGAGAGACTGCTTCTGCTTATATGTAGCCTAAAGGATACGAAAGTATTCAGGAAACTATAAATCTATAGCTATATCAACTTATTGGTAGCACATTCCAAGTCCTTATGCCTCACTTCCCCTCTGTCCAATATACCCACTGCCATTATTTGGCTAGGGTATGCGAGCTGCAGCTGCCAGCTTGCAGGCAACTTTCAGTGCGCATATTTTGCTGGCGGCGCGAAAGTGATTTCTTAATTTGTTACAACAAACTTGGCAGTTATAAGAACTGACACACACTCACACACACACGCGCTAGCTACCCCTACTGTGCCTGTATGTGTGTGCGTGTTAAAGTTACATGAACTTTCTTCCGAGTGGAAGTTTCCTTTTCAAGCTCAGGCTGCCTGCGCTGTACGTGACTTTTGTGGTAAATGATGGATTAGGGTCGCCGCCCACCACCAACAACAACAACAACAGCAGCAACAACGACAACGACAACAACGAGGACAGTAGCAACAAAAAAAGTGAAACTTGCCGCTCAACTAATTAATGATAGCAACAACCGCAGCAACTGCGTCGCATTCGCAGCCTTTTTCCCTGTGTTTACTACGAAAACACTTTACATTGCGCATACGCACGTTGCGTATACGCAATGCGAGCCATTGCAGCTGTTGCCAAAAAAAACAGCAACGAATTGGGCTAGTAACTGGTTAAGCTGCTCCTGCTGCTCCTGCTGCTCCTGCTGCTCCTGCTGCTGCTGCTGCTGCGTACGATGCTCCAACACGAGCACGTAAAATTTAAATAAACCAATCCATTTATCCTTTCGTTTGCCGGCTGCAACAATTACTACGACAACTACTACGCCGACGACGACGCACATGGGCGGCCATTTTGTGAGTGCATGCGTGCGTGTGCATGTGTGCGTGTGTGTGTGTATGTGTGTGTGTGGTCACTTCCGCATGAAATACGAGCGATTTTTACTACACATCAGCAACAGCAGCAGCAACAGCAGCAGCAGACGACACACACTCTGCTCTGTTGTCCAGTGTGCGTGTGTGTGTGTGTGTGTGTGTGTGTGTATGCGGCAATCGATAAATTTCATGTGTGTGCCTCGTGTGGTATATAGTATAGTAGTATATAGCGTATGCATGCCGGCACAGACAGATTTATAGTTTGTCGTCTCATGGCGGCAACATTCAAAATAGTTGCAGCAGCTGCAACAGCAGCTCGTTCATAAAATCAATAGGCTGCTCCCACACTCTCTCTGCCGCTCTCTCTCTCTCTCACTCACTCTCTCGTTCTCTATCTGGTCTGCCGGCCGGTTTTGGGGATTATTTATATGCAGCATAGGCCGACGGCAGAGCCGAACTAAAGCCCCACTCCACTTGCAGTAAATAAGTCACTTGGCAGCTGCCAACGTCTAATTGCACGGAAAGCCAACAGCAGCAGCAGCAGCTCGACATAATGAAAGAAAATTTCAAATTCTATGCACACACAACAGCAGCAACAACAACAGCAGCAACAGCATATAAAATATATAAATTATATATAGAGAACAATACGAAACGAAACGAAACGAAACGAAACGATGTCAAACAATTAAATGGCAATTACGCCAAAGGTGAGACTCCTCCTGCCAAGCAGACGTGGCAAAGCGTCGCATTGCTAAACGTGTCTCACAATTTGCCAGCGCTCGAAAAGGATTCGAGTCGAGTTGAGTTGGGGCACTTAATGAGCGACACACGCGCGCCACACGGGCGCAGAAGAGCCCTTGGATTACATATGCTGCACAGGGTTCGAGAGGGCCAAGTGGAGCTATCTTAAGTAAAGCAGCATTTCAAAGACCTCCAATTAGAGCGCTGAGCTTAATCCAATTCAAGTTCTTGGCAAATATATATTTTTGTTGCGAGCAAACTCTTTGAAGCTTAACAATGCTTAGGAAGAATTTTTTTCTCTCGTGGAGAGAATCTTTTTTGGGGAATCAAATATTCAGTGAAAGGCAGAAGGATTATAAGCACATTTCGAAGGACTTGAAAAGCTTAAAGGACTTTAACTATTTCGGAATTCTAAGTCTGAGTCAAGCATTATAAATTCTGAGTTATTCGATGAAGTTTGGGCTCTCCTTATAATATAAAAAAAATAAACAGGCAGAATAAACTTTTAAAAATAATTTTAGCCATATAATACAGACAGTCTATAAAGCTGAAAGCCTAAAGTCGAAGTAAATCTTAAAACCGAAAAGGTTTCACGTTATTTAATAAGGCAAAGCTATGCTCAATTTCTATGATAATAAAATCTGTAATATATATATTTAGGTAGTTTTCATTTAAAATAAGGAAATATTTGAAAAGAAATTTAACTTTTCCTTAAGGAAAGCATTTTTCACTCTTCAGTATACTTTTAGCTACCAAGAAAAATTCGTGAATTTTACAGAAATTTCTGTCGTCTGTTCAATCTTAGCCACGTTTACAATGCCGCCACATTCAACTAGTGGAAGCGGCAGAATCGCCTTGACAAAAGCGCCGAACTCAAACCGCAAAGCAAACAGCTCAAGGCGCTGCATAAATAAATCACACACAACTTAGTCGATGTTCATAAAAAGTGCATTGTTTACACACTCCGGCGTAAGTTGCAGCGCGCAAAGTGAACGTGCCACATGCGGCAGCATTAAAAGTTCGCCTCAAACTTGAAAATAAAATCCATTAGAAGCGATTTTCTATTATTTTCTTTCTCTTTTTACTTTTTGCTTTAGTCTCTGAGTTGCGAACTAAACGAATTTGCATGCAATTTGCTCCGAAAATAACAAAAAAAAAAAAAAAGACACTTTGCACCTTAGCGCATTTACCAACACGGGCGAAAGAGTCCAACAAACTTCTTTTAGATTCTGCTTCTTCTTGTTCTTCGTGTTGTTGTTATTGCAATTCAATTTATTTTCAATTTACGGCTGCAGCATGGAGCACGAGCTGGCTAAAGTCTGGCCAAGCACCTTTCATTAGGCCCCAACTTTATCAGCGAAATTTTGCGCGTGAAGCATTTCCCGTTACTTGCCCTTTGCACTCGTTGTTGTTGTTGTTGTTGTTGTCCTGTTGCCGGGTTGCATGTTGTTTTACACTGCAGTTTCGCGTAGTATCTACACCAATGCACTCTCGCACACACACACACACACTCAAGCGCACACGCACGCACACACACGCACTCAATGTACATGGATAACTGCTGTTATTTACGCAGCGCGCACGTTGCCTTTGCTTTTGGCTTTGCTTTTGTTGTTACAGTTATTGTTATTGTTGTTGTTGTTGTTGCTGTTTGCCATTGCAGTTTGGCTGCCTATTGCACTTTGCCACCTCACACGCTCTTTCGTACACAAACGTTGACAGCGACAGCGCCGGCGCGCTCTCTACATAACGGTTTAGATTCAAGCGCTCGCTCTCTCTCTCTCTCGCTCACTCACTCACTCCTTCGTATGCAGTTGGCTGCAGTGCGAAAGGGAGACACAACTAACATACGCCGCTCTATGCAAATGAATGCGCTGCTGGGACCATGCACAACCGCACGCGAGGAACGTCGAACAGCAACTGAATTCGCATTGTGGCTGGCTCGAGATGTTGCCCGTTGCCATAGTCGCTGCCTGCCTGCCTGCCACTGAGTCCATCCACGTGGATGCTGGGCGCCAGTGCGCAGATGCGTCGTAGTAAAGCCCGTAGTAATTGGATGCTATTCGAATTCCATTCATGCCACACACACACACACATAGGCGCGCGCACACAGACACAGTTAATCGACTTTGGTTTGCTCTCACACACAATCGAGTCGATCACAGTGATCTGGCAACGCCAAGTTTCAAATTCAATCACATCGGCCCTGTGCAACACTAAGCAATTGTTTGTTTTCAACGCTGTTAACGACGAAATGTCAACGGATCATCGCAATGCTCAATTTTGTGGACACATTTGAGCTGATGGCGCTCAACTTCCATGGGGACGAGGAGCAGCACCACCGCTTCGTGCACGACGCCAAGCTGCTGATCGATGCGATCGTCACGCAGCTGCACAACAACGACTCCGTGTTCAAGGACCACATGGGAGAGCTGCGCACGACGGGTAAGCCAAATGCCATTTGTTGCCATTGCCGCGCAGCTAATCAAGGTAACTGCAATCTGTTGCAGCCTCGTTCATTAGCGAGATTACGATGGACATGCCGCTTGGCTTTGAGGTCTTCCTGCCCATACGGCTGCCCGTTGCGCTGTCGCCCAACTTTAATGAGGAGCAGCGCAGCGTTCAGCTCTACAGAACCAACTTTTCGCACCCGTTCTTCTTCGGCGACGCTGCGAATCCCAAGTGCATGAATCTGCGCCTGCAGCAGGACATGCAGCAGGTCATTAGCCAGGTGCCCTGCATTGCCGGCTACTGGGGCGCCGTCTACGACATCAAGTACAAGCCGATGTGCTACAACCGCGTTCCCTTCGCCCACCAGGTGTTCGCGGAGGAGCGGGGCGCCTACAATCGCGGCATCTGCTTCGACTTCATCCTGGTCCTGGAGTTCGACGGCGCCGAGCTGCCGTTGCCTCTGTACTACAAGGCGCCCATTTGCTACAAGTGGTTCGCCTTCGGGCTGGTGGACGTCAATCGGAGTCACGACTCCGCCGACTGGGGCGTCCTCGTGCCGCGCTGGCAGTCGGCCAATGTGACTTTGCGTCTGCGCTCCCACAACATGCTGCTCCTGCTGCGCCGCCTGCTCTACGCGCAGGGCTGCTTCAGCCTGGCCGCGCCATTCCTGATCAAGTTCTGCTTCTTCATGACCACCGTGGACTTTGGCGAGCAGTACAAGGGCATGGGCGTGGCCCATCTCATGATAACTGTAAGTGTTGATCCGCTGCTTATGCTCTGTTTGCCCAGCGAGTGGAGTGAAATACCTGAATCGGATTCTCGTCGAAGAGTGGGATGTAGTTTCTGTTAGTTAGCGTTAGTTAGTTGAATAGAGCGGGAGAGGGAGAGGGAGAGGGAGGGAGAGTTAAAGAAAAGTATTCTCTAGGTTTAAGTGAGGCACTAGACTTTGTAGAGAAAAGAGAGTATAAGCTCTACATTCTCGTGTAGTTTTCTGCTCGCCGGGAACAGAGCATTGCACAGTCGTCTACAGCCGATTGCCAAACTCCTGACACTCTTTTTATCCACCTGTAGACGCTCGGCCACCAGGTGTTTCGCAACTACTGTGAGCTGATCGTCAAGTCGGCCGTGGGCGATCACGACGCCAACGTGGCCGCCACGAAGGAGCTGCGCGAGCAGCAGATGCGCGGCAAAGGACTCTTCGCAATGCTGGCCAAGGGCCTCGAAATGAATGTGGTGAGCACCCAGTTCATAGCGGATTACTTTCAAGTCAACTACGTCCAGGTGCGGCCGAAAGCCGCTTCGACCCCCGAGCCGGAAGCGGCGAACCACACGTTGATCGTGACGACGCCGTCGACAACTGCAGCGCTGCAGAACAGCAGCGAGACACCTCCACCATCCTCACCCGTCAGGTCCTCACCTGCCTCACCTGACCCACCACCGGCGGCGGAGCAGCCGCCAACCACAACAAGAATAATAGCCAGAGCCGTGCCGATGAGCCGGAAGCAGAATCGCAGCATTTAGTGAAATACGAAATACGAGACGACAGAAGTTAAATTGTGCATAAAGTGGTGCTTCGACGTGGGGCTGCACCGCCCCGAAAGGGTAGCTCCCTGCTTTAAGCTATATTCGAGTTAACTGTAAATTGGCCAGTCGTTTGTGAGGGACAGCAGCAACGTCTCAAATCTCGGTAATAGCGCAACTTTTATGCCCAAAATAAGTGGAACTGTCTGAACACACACACATATACACACCCCCACACACACACACACACCCACACACACTTGTGCAGACAAAAGTTAATAAAAGCCAACTAAAAACTAAAGCTCTTTGGGGCTACGTGTCCTTGTTTTACCATGCCCATCCCTTGGCTACAGCTACGGCTACAGCTGCGTCTGTGTCTGTGTCTGTGTCTGTGTCTGTTTGGCAAAAAGTTAAATTGCAAATAGCCTGGGTAGGTCCAACCCTCAACCCCTTGCGGCGCTGAGGGCGCGGGGGCGGCGCAGCGACACAGGCGACATGAAATTTTAGAAAAATTTGCTTTTATTGTTGGGCAAAACAAAAAACGGGCCAAAAGCAGAGAGCAAAAAAAACAGAAAAGGAAGCAAGAAGGTTGAAGGTAGACGTGGCCGCTAGGCGTGGGCGCATTAAATGAAAACACACACCAAATGGAGTATTGAGTGACACGCCGAGAGATACCCTGTAAAGTAGTGACAGCTGAGGGAGTATATAGAAGACAAACAGCTTCAACTGACGCTCATAAACAGCAACTTAAGCTATAGCTGGTAGACATAGAATTCGATATTTATCGATAATGCATTAATCTTGAGCAACTCTCAGAAGATTAAGAAACCAGTTATATATCTAATATATAAAATAAATTTCATATTCACCAAGCGCGGCGGTCGATATATATCGAAACTACTATTGGAGACGCGTATATATAATGAGATAAAAACAAAGACGGAGATATTGTGATAAATTCAGAAACTTGAGCTTCTTCTAATAAGAAAGTTAAGTAATTCTTTGATTAACATACCTGGCAATCGATATACATATATATCGATTTCGATATGTCGATCAATTGATACAACAATTAAGCGAAATTATATCTAGTGCCGCGCTCATAGTATCTCTGCATAAAGTTAGATATAAACCAGCTAGATTTTCATTAGGAATATATCGATAAATATCTTTTAATTCTCTTCCTTGAGAGGACTGACGTGAGGAACAACTCCATTTACATTTCAAATGGGTACGGAGTATAAAAGGGTTTAGAGTTTCAACATCTATATGTAACTACGTATATATACACTTACATACATATATATGTATATATCTTTATCTGTATTGTTGTTTTTGTTTAGTCACGGTTTGAAAGTTTTTCGCTCCAAGCTTTTTGACGTTTCATTGTTGTCAACTTTTAACTAGTTTTTTTTTTATTTTTATTTTTAATGTTGTTATAATTTGGCGAATGCAAATGCAAATGCGACGACATCGTTCACTGGGAGCGAAAATTCAGTTCAGCTCAGCTCTGTCCGGGCTTCGCACAATGAGAATTCGAGTGGAAAAAAGAAATAATAGAAGCCGAATGCAATTTGTATCATAGAGTTAAATTATTATGAAAACTATTCTCATATTTCTATGCCCGTTCACGAATGCCAACAAGAGAGTATATTGGCTCAAATCAGTCTAGCAACTCTACAGAAATTATATATTGGGGCGTGGCACACATTTTTCCGAGTATTGAATGCTGCTCTCACATAATCTGATAGTTCGACAACTGCAGGCGAGTATTGGGCAGTCGATCACGCCCGGCTGAATTCTTGTATTCTGCTTTTTGCCGAGTGTCATAAATATATTTTATTAAATTCCGTGCATTGTTATAAATTCAATTAAAGCTGCATTTCCTGAGCCTCAATAAAATATTGAAAGCGGATAGCGAAGAGGGAAGGGGTTAACTCTGCGTTCGAGTCGGAGTCGTGCTGCCAGTTTGATTGGCAAATTGAAGAAATGATTATTGCATTTTGGCATTGCATTTCAATTGCATTTTCGGGCTGGACAGGCGACAGACACTCAAGGCTTTGGGGCTTATAAATGACATCGAGACTTATTTATTTATGGCAGCACGTCGAGAGCTGGCCGCATTTATGCAAATTCATTTGCAACTGCAGCTCAATCGGAATGCTGCATCTGCGTCTGGCCAAGCTCAATAAGCAAACATAATAAACAGCAAAATGAAAAGCCATAAATGCCCCAAGGCCCAAATCCCAAGTCGGAAGAACAGAAATTAAAAGTTCAACTGGCAAAGGTGGCCGAAAGCAGCCAGAAGAAGCCTCAACAAGGCTCGCAGCTGAATTTTTTGCTATGGAATGGAGTAATTGCATTTGATGGCCAATATTTAATTAACTTATTCCGACTCCGAGTCAAGAGTCGTAGCTCAAATAAAGTTCATTTGCTCTGGGCAAAGCAATTTCCCATTCATTTTCTCTCTCTCTCTCTCTCTCTCTCTCTCTCTCTCTCTCTCTGTCTGTCTGTTTCGTCTATTTCAGCAATGTTTCTATTAGCTTGTTTGGTTCTTATTGGATTTATATTCGATTCTTATTGGATGCCTATTGACTTTGTCCTCTTAACGCATCTTTTTCATATTATCATCTCTCCTTCTACGCTATTCAATCCTCAAGATTTCATAATCTTCCCTCTACTCCTTGGCATCCTACTAATATTGGAGTGTTTATTGAACAGATCCCAACTCCAGCTCGTATATTTTTTAATCCGCACAGCAAACACGCTAAAAACTTCAGTGATGAAAGCATAAAATTCCAATGCAGAATGCAAAAAACTCCCAATCGAGCACTCTGCTTACCCATTTTATAGGCAGTTATACGAGATACTTTGGGCCGGGGAAGGAACCGCCAGCTCCCAAATGGCTGCCTGGCGACCTGACGGGCCGACAGACGGACTGGCGGACAACAGGAGCATCTTTAATCAAAAAATAATTATGAGTGTCGGGGGAGCTGATGGTGGCAATGAAATTACATTTGAATTATGACTAAAAGCGAGAGATGGAGAGAGAGAGAGAGTGGGCGAGAGGGGAGAAGCTGTCTGTCTCACTTGATGGCAAATGGAAACCCAAAAAGCTATAACAAGTTGTGCAGTAAATGAGCTAAGCGAAAGCCAAGTGAAATTTGAGTGAGACGAGCGACGAGGCAGCAGACGAGAAAAGATAGCGCAAATAACAACAGACAACAGTAGCAGCAGCAGCAGCAGGAGTAGCAGGAGTAGCAGCAGCAGCAGCAGCAACAAAAATGGCCGCAATTTACGCAACAAACAGAGCGCTGAAAATTGCGACAGCAACGAAACAGGGACGACCGCAAGGACATGACGGCAAAACTTTATGTGAAAAAGAAAACAACGACAGACAATTAATTTGTTTTGCAACAGGAGACACAGGACATCGGGCACATCGGGCACATCGGGCACATCGGGCACATCGGGGGCAAACAATTTTGTGCTTGTTGGCCAAGAATATTTACGTGGCCGAAAGACAAGTCGCTGGACAAACAAACAGCTGGAGCCAGAAAGCCAGCACAGCCCCAGAGCCACGCAGCCAGCCCACAGCCTGCCCCCCTCCTGCCTCCACCAGGAATGGTCAAACATTTTACGCTTTTTGTTTAATTAAAATAGCAACAGGATGAGCGATGCTTAAAGGACCTGCGACCCGCTCCTTGGCTGCCTTCGTGCGCCTTTTTCAATTACACTTGCATTTAATAATATACACTACAACAGCAGCAACAACAACAACAACAACAACATTAGTTTGCAGCGCTTATCTGAGCTGAGGGCAAAGCAGGAAGCGGAAGCTGTTGCTGCTCCTGCTGCAGCTTCCGGGCATGCAGTTGGCTTTTATTTGCCTTGCTTTGGCTTGTCCTTTGACATCGGCCTTAAAGCGCACAGCGACAGTGCAGACTCGCTGCAAATGAAGCCTTTTACTGCAATGAGTACAGTGGAGACGCGCTATAGCGAACTGCTGCCAGAGGTCGCTCGGCTGGCCATTGGCGCAGTCTTCACTGCGCCGCACTTAGCAGCAACAATAAACAAAAGACAGCAATAAGTGCAGGTATTTCCTGCATGTCCTTTCCACCTGCACAGGTGCGCATATCAATGCGCATTCGCCATTCGCCATTCACCATTTGCCATTTGCCATTCGGCATCAAAGTGCAGGCATTCCTCGGCCTGGCCCCAGGAATTTCTCACTCGATATTAAAACATGCAGGCAGCAGGAGCAGAAGTAGTAGTCCGGGCGACGTGTTAGCGACTCCTGTAAAAGGATACGCCAGCATACGTGAGTGCGCTTGAGTGGTGTGTGTGCGTGTGTGTGTGTGTGTGTGTGTGTGTGTGTGCGTTCGGCTAGTGTATCACGTTCTTGTCATTTGGCAAATGCCACTTCATAATTCAATAAAACAATAAACGAGCAAATCCTAACAAATTACAACAATCACATTATATACGTATTACGTACCACATATACATGTGTGTGCGAGTGTGCACGCCACGCCCCCAGCACACAGCCGCCCCCCAGAGCAGTGTCCTTCTCAGCATATTTTCATAAATTGCACACGATTTGCTATGCATGACATAAACACAAAAGACCAAGCGTAACTGACACGCCCACATGAGACGCGGAAGCGGGAAGGGCGGCCGCTGGGGAAGAACGCGACACGACAGCAAAAATAGCCAAAATTATGGCATAAAGGATAATCGCCATAAAGCGAGTGAGCGCGAGCAACTGGAGAGCCCAGCAGCACTGAACGTGGCGCCAGGCGAACGTGTGTCCTGGCTAAGAACAACGCGTGGCTACGTGCCGGATTTGATGGCACACCAAGAAAGAATACCAAGCAGAAAAACAAAAGAGAAAACAATACGTTTACGCGGCGAACTACAGATGCCTCTATAGGATAACTAACCCTATAGAAACTAAAAATATCCCATTTACGGTAGTGAAACTTGAAGAATATCATTACAAGGAAATAATTATACAAAGATAGTATGGAATACTCAGATACAGATACTCGGATACAAATACAGATACAGATGCAGATACAAATACAAATACAGATACTCGAATACAGATACAGATACAGATACAGATACAGATACAGATACAGATACAGATACAGATAAAGATACAGATAGATACTCGAATACAGATACAGATACTCGGATATACACTCAGATACAGATACACTCAGAAACAGATATATACATAGATTCGTAGTACAGGTTGATTTCATGCAACATATTGCAATCGCTTTATTCGTTAGCTATGAGTACATACAGTACAGCAAGGTATCTCATGTACATATGCATATATACATATATGTTGACAGATATACATGTATATATGTGCGTATGGGTGTATAGGTAGTTGCCTGACTGTCTGTCTGTGAATGTGTGTGTGTGTGTGCGTGTGTGTGTGTGGTGTGCGTACGAGAGTGTATAAATTGTTCATGTATAAAGAGTTATTTTCAGTTATAAGCAAAATGCACGCTAGCTAGAGAGCTGAAGATATACATATATGGAGTGGGGTATAGGAAGGGGGATCGTCCGATCGTGCAAATGCCCAAGTTCTAGCCTAAGGTTGAGCATTTGACGACAGGGCCGACAGGTGAGTACTTAAACTAAGTAAACGCTTCCGTGGAAAGCCAGCTTAGCCGGACTTGCTTTGCTCGGAATTTACAATTTGTAAATAGCATTGACATTCGGCCCGGCCTGAACCATGGCATCCTTGTGCACCTGGTACTGCAGCTCCACCTCGCGCAGCTGCAGCAGCTGCTTCATCTTGTGTCCAATGGCCAGAATAGCCTGCTGATTGCGCGAGTCCTTGGTCCACAGAGCTGAATGGATATGAAGATCGTTATATAGGCTATGGATGTATGGACTCCCTGCTGAGACACTCACATATCTTGCTTGCCTTGTTGCGCACATTGATAACCACGCCACAGATCTGCTCCGAATACTCAAAGCACTCGCCAATGGTGCACAGAAGCTAACGAAGATGTCATATCAAAATACCTTTCCAAGTGGGCCTAATAGAGTGTAAGCCGCTTACCAAATCATGCCACAACTTGTCCACCAGTTCCTTCGAGTCCTTGTCCAAAAACATGACCCAACGACCGCCGTCCTTGTTGACATCATCCTCCCACATGGGACTGCAGAGAAATCATACATAATATGAAGAATAAGGACAAGATTTAAGTTTGACTAACCGTATGCCATGCTTGAACACCATATAATCATTGAATACTTTAAGATCCGATGGCGGCTTAATAAAGTAGTAGACACTGCAAAGAGAGAGGAGTAGAAAGGGGATGATACATAGCTATTCACTGCGACTACCTGAAGAAATCCTCGACAGTATTGAAGCTGGTCACATCGCTCAGCATGTCGGACCAGGACTTGGTGCGATCGTTCTCCCAGTGCCACAGCGTCCAGGTGTGCTCCAGCGGATGCTTGAAGCACAGATCGTAGTCAATCGAGCTGAGCACGCGGTTCAGCGACGGCTGCAGCTCGGCCGCGGCGACAGCGAATTGCTCATCGGCCACCACGTTGGTCCCGTTGCCGCCGGCGTAGATGGCCTGCCCGGACTCGGCCACCTCGGTGCCGTTGTTGTAGTTGTCGTAGCCCATGGTTTGAGTTACTTTAAAGTACTTCTGCAATATAGCGCCTATTTCGTAAAACTTTTGCTCAAAACTTGCTTATGCCACACGTTAACGGCTCTTTTTTTCTTTTTTATTGTGAGGTTGGGTTTTTTTTTTTGGTTTCAAATACGTTTTTTTTTTTTTTTTTGGTAAAAACATACGAAAAAAAAAAGCCGTATGAGTATAATGAATATGAGACTTTTCTTGTGTTGCTCGGACGAGTTTAATAGAATAATGAGAGAACTGGAAAACTGCAAATCATCCAATTCCTGACAGTTGACAGCGAGCAGTCGTCGCCTGCTGAATATACTGAAAGGAGCACTGGAAAGTAGCTCAGGCTGCCAGATCAATCAGTTTTATAGTTCAGTGAACGTTTAAAGTTTTTCCAAACGGCGTTGCCAGATCAATTTGCTCAAGAAGTGTCAATAAGAGTTACCAGATCAATGTATCGGACAAGTGCTAGAACGAACAAAGTTTTATGAACGGAGTTAAATTGTGGCTTACAAATTGGAGATGCCTAATAAGATGGCTTTATACTTAAAATTGATATATCCTTAACACAAAACTATTTGAAGGTTTTACCGGTGGTTCCCAATGCTCCGAATTGAGATGCATTATGGAGTAGACTAAAACAGGCTAAAATGCAAGAAAAACTGCTGGGAAAGCAACCTAGATGAAATATTGAAGAAAATATGTTTATCAAATTATTAGCAGTGAACTTTTCCGCTCATAATAAGAATAAGATAAAATAAAGTACTTCTTCTAAGCATTTCCCTTAAGAATTTCTTCTAAGTATTTCCTCTAAATATTCTCTCCAAGAATTTCTTCTAAGTATTTCCTCTAAATATTCTCTCCAAGAATTTTTCCAAGTGTTTCCTCTACGTATTTTTTCTTTAATGTTTATATGAACGATTATTGAATATTATTTTTGACTTCACTTCACTTTATTGCACTGTTGACCTCCACCGGGCCTGGGCGACTGAAGAAATGATGCAGCTGCTGCCCTTTATATAGGGCGACTTTCACTCTCACCAAGTGGCTTTCAAATGTTGGGCCCGACGTCAGGTAGCGATCGTTGTAGTCGACCTTTAGCTGACCAATGGGAGCACTCTCTGCCTCTGCGAGCATTCTAACTTCGTTTTACTCAAGTATAAATGCCGAATGAGAGCTTCTGCATACATGTGGACAGCTTAAATGATCTTCTATAGTTCTTCGATTCTCTTGGTTTTGTTAGGCAGACATAGTCACATAGTCTCTTAAGGACAAAGACTGCTGCATAGTCTGCCTTTATTTCAGGCTACGCCATTGCACACTCATTTTCAACAGATCTAGCCTGAAATAGGCTAAACGGGCAGCACTGGTGCCTCCAGTGCCAACTGCAGCGGGTGTCCCGTGCCGTGGCTTCGCGCGATCAATTGAAATGTCACGCTAATAAAATAAAATGGCAGCGCGCATACGATAAATGCGCCCAAAATAATAAAATGTGACTCAAATGAGCGAACGCGACAGGCAAAGCCAACGGCAGGAGCCGGCAGCAGAAGTTCGCTTGGCTGGCTGGCTGTCTGCCATCCTTTAACTGTCTCCCTCTAACACATTCTCTCTCGCTCTCTCTCTCTCGCTCTCACTCTTTCTGTGCAACAGTTTGCTTGCAGTCAATAATCGAAATCGACTTGGGCTTGTGGCAATAAAAATTTGTCTTCGCCGCTTAAGTTTTGCGCCTTGTTGCACAGACAGACAGACAGACAGACAGACGCCCGCCCCCTGCTCCTGCCCAGCTCCTGCTGATAATAAAATATGTGAGTCCTTGCCACGCTGGCTGCCTGGGTAAGTAGCTTTGGGCCCTTGTAATGTGCACCATTTGTGCCAGCCAAGCCACTGTGTGGCTTTTGCCACAAGTTGTGGCTCTTTGGACATGTCTACCTCGCTCGCTCTACCCTCGCTCCCTCTACCTCTCACACTCTCTCTAGCTGTCGTTTCGCCCCTCTTGGCTTGCGTGTGAATTATGTTGGCCAAGTTAGTGCACAACAGGGCGACGACTAAGTTGAGCGCTGCAAATAAGTTTCCTGCTTCAATTTACTTAAAAATTCTATTTATTTTAGGTCTTAAGCAGCTGCCACGCCCCAACCCCAGACCCAAACGCCCCTTTGTCCAGCTAAGCTGGCGAAACGATTTTGTCTCTAGCTGTTTCTCTTTCTGTGGCTCGCTCAAGTTTCGGCGTAAGTCGCATAAATCTTAAGCCAACTGCGAGTGAGCATATTTGCAGTAGATTAGCGCAGTTGAAATATATAGAGAAATGAATTATTCGCAGATATTTGTCTAGATACATAGAGAGCAAATAAACAGAATGAAAACCTACTATATACATATATATATATATATATCTATATCTGTATCACATCCAGTCCAAACTCAACATTAACATTATCCATCTAAATTATATATGAACTATAATCTTACAGTTAACTTTTGAGGTAATCTAAATATTTGACACGCATACTTTAGCTGTCCGAACTGTAACGTTTTTGTTAAATCCAAACAAATGTTTAACTTGGCGTTACAAATCCCCAAACTTTTTCCAGGTGCCAGACGCTGCGTATACGTAATATTTTACAGCGCTTTGCACTTTGCGCGCTGCGAGTTCTGCTGTAGCTGTATGGGTCAGTAAATCTTTTAAAATATTGTAATGTTACATAGTGCAAAAAGCAACATAACAAGAAACGAAAAGAGAAGAAAAAGAGCGAAGCGAGGCAAAAGCCGAGCAGCAGCTTAAGCGAGCTTCGAGTGGCAAGCCGTAAAACCAAGAGATGAGCAGGAGGAGCATGTCTTGAGAGCAGCAAGAAATGAAAATGATTTGAGGCATTAGGTAGAGCACATCTCCCCCAGCTATAAAACTGCATGCCTTCCGTGCCCGTGTTTTTTGGCCCCGGCCCCAGCTCCAACTATGGCTCCGGCTCCGGATGCTGATTGCTGGAGATTTCCGGTACGATGAAAGCGCCAAGCACGCGATGATGTACGATATGAAGGCGAGCTCGTTTATTTCGCACCTGAATGGCAGATCAAGAGCGGATGGATGGGCGAGCCACATGAAACAATAAAAGTACAAGGTGCCAGCCAGGAAGTGGCATAAACGTGTGGGCGGCGGCCATATGTGTGTGCGTGTGTGTGTGGGTGTGTGTGCCTCGAGGCACCCAAAAACTGGCAAAGAGGCAAAGGCAAGGCAAAGCTACCTCTGTCGCTCACCTCCTGCTAAATGCTGCAAAGATGAAGTCGCTGCCAAGTCGCGCATCTGTCAGGCCCAACCACCCATGCCCAGGCCGGGCTGAGCACGAGCAAGAGCAGAAGCAAAAGGCCAGGTGAAAGTCATTTCACGCTGTTGTAGCGCAAAAGATTAAAATAATAGCAGCGCGTAAATTAAACAGCCAGAAAGACCGAGCAGCAGCAGCAGCASCAGCATCGGCGTCTTCCTGCCTGCCACCCATGCAGCCAGTCGAGTGGCAACCGCAGCGATTCTTTTGTCTTTGCGCGTCTCTCTGGCTCCGCGTGTGTGTGTGTGTGTGTGCGGTCTGGTGCTAAAACCGTAAGACGCTTAGCAGCTAACGGGCATGGGCAATACTTGCCCGCCATTCGCACCATCTGATGTGCCACCAGCAACAACAACAGCAGCAGCAACGCGTTGTCAGCACTTCATTTTGAGCCAACATGCCGCGTGCTTCACTTAATGCGTCAGCCGAGGAGGAGGTGGGCAGCAGGTGTATGACAGCACCCAAACCCTTGTAACATTATCCTGTAAACACACAAACGCAGTTGCATTACTTTATGGGTATTATAAAGCAAAGGCGACAAAACTTTAGAGCTCGATACGTTACAGAATGGAAATATACATATATTGATTTTATATTATTTATATTAATTATTGTATTATATTAGCTTAAACCTACTTAAATCTCTTTTAATTAAATTGTTCTAAAAGTCTTATTAAACTGAACTACTTTACATATTCACAACCGTCGAGTTCTCTTTCCATGAACTAAACGTTTTCGTTGACTTTGTCGCCTGCACCGCTGCACACAATGTATTGTTCTGTGCAGTACCGTTGCATGCAAAAGGGAATGAGTTGAGCGCTGTTCGGTATGCGCTGATTCGTTAAGCTGTCTCCCTCCCACTACACTCGTTCCACTCTCGTTCTACTCACTCTCTCTCTACTTCTGCTTCACTCTCTTCACTCTCTACTGTCGTGACTTTGAGTGCTTGTGGCTTGTCTTTTTCTACTTGTTACTCCGTCGCTACTTCTTCGTCTTCTTCGCTTTTGCGCTTCTCCGTAAGCTGAATGCTTTATGTTTGCCAGCTTTTAGCTCCATTGTTGTTGCTGCTGCTGCTGCTGCCTTTGCTGTTGTTGTTCTACTGCTGCCACTGCAAGGTACTTTGCTTTTGTTCGATGAAACGTAAAAATAGCAACAAGCAACGAAAACTCATTTTTAGACAATGCCGCATAATTCCAACGGATGCGGATGAGGGATACAGCGTACGTCCTTTTTGCTGTAATGAGGTGCATACTTTACCTGTTGTTGTTGTTGTTGTTGTTGTTGCCACTGCTGCTGATGTTGTTGTGGTTAGCTGTTGTCTGTGTGCGCAAAGTTCCTCTACTTATGTTTACATTTCAATGCGTCGTTTTTGCTACCTGCTTCAAAGTAACCGCAAGAAGTTTTCTTACGCGCTGTCAGTTTTTATAATGAAAGCGGAGGGCTGCCAGACCCCAACAGAAAAAAATAAACATATAAAAGAGCAGCCAGTGCTGCCAGTAACAGTAACAATTTGCTTATGCATGGTAACTCAACAGAGAAGGTCACTTCAACTTTTGAACCCTTTTACACACACCAGCAAACACACACACACACACACACACACACTCTTGCAGTCACATATGCTAGCCTGTTGCTGCCTTGTGATTCACAGTTGTTGTTGTTGCTGGTCATTTACGCCCATTTAGCCACATTTAACAAAGTCAACAATAAAGTCAAAAAGTTTTGTTGAAGTTGTTGTTGCTGCTGCTTCTGCTGCTGCTGCTGCTGCTAAAGTTCAGTCGAAACGATAATTGCCAAAAGTTTTGGCCAGAAGCCTACCCACTCTGGGCCCGGTCAACAGTTATCAGTTTATCGAGCTGCTTTTCCGTTCAGCTCAAATTGAATAAACATCTAATTTCTATGCTTGGCTCTGCCCGGAGACACTTCTCCATAGACCATTAAATCATCATCATTCGCATTTCGGATTACGGAGCTGTTGACGTATTTAGGTTTCAGGCCTCATTAGCGACGACAGCAGCAGAAGCTGCAACAGGAGCAGCAACACCAACAACAACAGCAACAGCAGGTGTCAATATTAATTTACTACCTGCTCAAGGATATTCTGCTTCTGGCTGGAATTTAGCTTTTCAAGCTTGGCAACCAGATACATCTGAGTGGGCCGTAGGCGTGCGGAAGAGCTGCTTCATATTTTATGGAATTTGCGGTCTCTGCGGTAATTACGGTAAAGCTAGCTGAGAAAATGTATACAGATAATATGGAAAGAGTATATATGTATGTATATGTATATAATTATATATATAAGGTAGATAAGAGGAAAAGAAAATGTATAAAGAGAACAAGAGAAGCTGCAGAAACTGAATTGGAAATAAAGACAATGCATGAAAAAGATAGACAAAAATAATTATTAAGTTTAATATAGTATTTATGTAGTACATTATGAAGCACTTATAATATATCGATCTGAATTCTTTTCCATAATATATGTGATTTACTTCTACTGTCCAGTTCCATGTAGACAGTTGCATTAATCTAGACAAGAAGACGGATGTATGACAAGAAGCGGACATAGCTAGACTTGATAAGATATTTAGATGGATCCACTTGGCAACCGAATGGTAGCTCTCGCCATTAATATGCAGAGCAGCTTCGCTCGGCTACGTCTTGAAGGCTGCCTAGTGGATCGGCCCATTAAAGTGGCTAATGGAGCGGCTGAATTATTCGGGCAGGCGAACGTTGCGCATTTTTAAGCAAGGCCACAACAAATGGAAGCGAAAGAATAAATAAACAGCCACAAATATTTCAATGAAACTTAAACTTTTATTTTAATGTCGTAAACAAAATCACAAGCTGTTGGTTGAGGTATGCGAAATGCAAATATACATATATATACAGAGATATATATTTATATTGAACTACACACACTCTACTTCTTCAGCAGCAGAGGGGCGGCGGCATAAGGGCGTGCCAGATAAGGAGCRGCGAAAGGTGCGCTGTAGGCCAGAGGAGCAGCGGCAGCATAGCGAGTGTAGGCGGCAGCGACTGGAGCGGTGTAGGCAGCGGCAACTGGAGCGGCGTAGGCAGCGGCCAGAGGAGCGGTGTAGGCGGCGGCGGCAATGGGGGCAGTGTAGGCAGCGGGGAAGGCGGCGCTATGGGCGATCTGGTGGGCGGTGTAGCTGGAGGCGTAGGGTGCTACGTAGGCGGCGCTGCCGACCACAGCTGGTGCGGTGTAGGCCAGAGGAGCGACAATGCCGGGCTTGGCAGAGGCCACAGCCACAACAGCGAAGAAGCAGACGGCGAACTGGAAAGATGAACACAATTAGAGCTGGAACTGGAACTGGAGCAGGTGCAGCAGCAGGMGCAGGAGCTGGAGCTGGAGCTGGATCTGAAGCTACTTACGTATTTGAACATGTTGATTGTTTGGGTTTGGGATAGTTGTCAGCTAGTGAATGACCAGTTGATTTGTGATGCCAATTTGAAGACAGCGCTGCGCTTTTATAGCCAAATGCCGAAGCGTCAGCACTTACACTTTTCATTGGTTTTCGGGTCTCGCTGGCTAGTTGGCTGTCTATCTGTTGCTTGGTTATGCGGAGCACGCGCAACGGTTGCCAAGTCAACGACTGGCAACTGACGAAGACAATGCTGTCCATGTTGCGCATGCGCAATTCTTGGCCAGCGAATAATGTTGTTGGCTTGGACTTAATGTGTCTGCGTGCCTGGCGTCCGTTACATTTGACTCGGCCATGACCTTCAGCTGCAACCTAATGGCTTGCCAGCTGGGTAATACCGCTCACTCTCAAAACAGTAGCACACCAAATGTCGCTACTAAATGGTGTGATTAACGATATCACAATATACGAATTGCATTTTAATTTTATGTTGAATAAATAGCTTGTGTAAACGGGGTAAGTGTTGCCAGATTGTTCTTAGGGCAAGACGAGCTGCTTAAGAATTGGGGCATTTTGCGTGTCGTTATCATTTGGTATATTATTTTTTGGTATGTGAGTGTTGTTAGTGTGTGTCGGCTGCGAGTGTTGCCAGAAAGCTTGCCGCTTATTGTGCATTTTTAATGTGTCATAATTAATCCGTTTTGAGTAGTATTTGGTATATTCATTAATTTCAAACAAAAAATCGCATAAAAAGACCAATTTAGCGAATTTTTTACTGCAATTCTCACTGATTTACGTTTTGATCAACAAACATACAATTATTTTCAATATATATGTAAATATGTTCAATTTAATTAAAGCTCAGCTATTTCCATATGCTGTCAATTTCATGCAATATTTCAATACAATGTTTTCAACTATTTGCCGGCACATATTTTCAATTATTACGTATACGCAATTTCAATGAATTTTGCGCTCAGCTTGATTAACTGTTTATGCGCCATATGCACATAATATACCATACAATGGGTGCCCCACACGCGTACGCACCAATTACCATAACTAATGCCCCACCAAAGACCCTATCAATGCAGCCAAAGTACCTAAGTGCTTACATATACATATAGAGCTTACACATACATCCATATTTATGTATAGGGATAAACTCAGCTCACGCCGTCTGAAATTCAATGGAAAATTAATTAACAAATGTCATAAATTGCAAAAGGGGGAGAATAAAAATGTGCGATATGCGAACCCTTGACAAAACGCGCTGAGGGTTGAGGCAAATGCAGCGCTTAAAAACTCACTAATTAGACGTATCGAGAGGGTGTGTGGGTGTGCGTGGGTGTGCGTGGGTGTGCGTGTGTGTGCGTTTGTGTACGTGTGTTGCTGTCAAGGTGTTTACAACACACACACACACACACACAAATGCACAGTTGCACACACACACTCGAAAAAGTGTTGAAGCGTGAATTTTGCTTAAAAATGCCAATTACGCGATTTCGCAAGAATCGAGCGCAAGCTGCGTGGCATGCGGCATGTGGCATGGATAGGGACAGGGACAGGGGCAGGGGCAGGGTGTAGCTGTGGCAGCTGCAAGGGTTGGTTTGTAGTGGGTGTCTGTAACATGCCAACAAAGTTGTCCTGCAAATATTTCAGCTGCTGCTGCTGCTGTTGATGATGATGTTGCTGATGTCGCTGGAGCATTTGTTTGGCTTCCTATTGCTGGCGGCTTGCCTCAAGTGTTTGCCTAGTGACTGTGCATATGCAACAGAGAATATTTCGCGGTGGGCGTGGGCGTGGGCATGGCTGACGCCCACTAAATGCACAATCATGAGGCGGCAGCAATCGAAATTGAGCTGCAGCAGCAGCTGCCTCATATTTGTCGCCATCACTTGACTTGGGGGCGTGGCATGCCGCACAATGTGGCGACGCTTTCATTGTCAGGCAAATGGCGCATATTGGTTAATCCGTCTAAAAGCTTTGATCACACAAAAACCAAAACCCGATTTCAAGTGCGACGCGACAATTCTCAAGTGACCCAACAGCGCTGGCAACATATCAAAGGAGTTGCCACGCCCCACGCCCCCAGCTCTCACTCCCTCTTCTCTTCCTGCTACCCGGCTAAGTGGCAGCGAGTAATTAAAAGAGAAATGTGCACAAAAAAGGAGCAAAGCAACAACAACAACAACAAAACTGAATGAAAAAAAGGAAAGCCACCCGGCACAAAGCACAACAAGGACTTGGCATATTCGCTTCCTCTACACGCTCCACAGTTAACTTCTCCTGCTCCTCCCCCTCCCCAGCCTATTGAACCCTGCCTATGTACTCGCTTTATTGCCCCTAATAAAGGCGTCTAGCGGCTGGGCGTGGCAGCAGCTGTGCGAGCGCGTTAATGCGTCGCTCAAGTGCCGTAAAACGTGAGTGACACACACACACACACACATACACGCACACACACACAGAGGTCTATTATAAATTTTGTTTTGAATTTGTCTAGAAATGCGTGCGACTTTTGACGGCGATGGCTGCTGCCTTTAAGTGGTTTCAACAAATTATTCATGATAAAGTGCCAACAACACCAACAGCAACAACAATAACAGCAGCAGTAGCAGGAGCAACAACAATAACCACGCAACAGGATTGAGCAATTGCTTAGCTGTGCGAAGGCCATAAAAACCAGGGCTGCAGAAACAGAATATAAAATCGAAGTAAAATCTGATAGGTGTATATATAAATGTGATACTTTTATGATATATACTGTATTAATATATATATATATCTATATATTACTAGCAGTCCCAGCAAGCGTTGCATTGCCCTACCCTTATTTCTAGGTAAAAAATGATTAAAAGGTATGTTGTTCAGGTTGGGATACACTCTAATTAATTTATTAATCAGATTTTCATTCAAGCACCTTGTGGTAAACGACATTCTTCGTTTTTTGGTCAGGTGCAAGAACAAATAATGCGGATGGTTTGCCAACACGTGAGCATGCCACGTACAATTGACCATGAGAAAAACACGCATTTTCTAGATTGAGGCCACAAATAGTCAAAGATTGGCCCTGTGATTTGTTGATCGTCATGGCGAAGGCAAGACGAATCGGGAATTGAATTCGTTTAAACTCAAAGGGCATATCTGTTGGGATCATNGACTGACTACATTTGTTTATTTACTTCTACACTATTGTCAAAACTGTCACTGTTACCAAGCCTACTGGGTATAAAAAAAATTTGAACATTTGGGGAAAAAACCGCGTTTTTCAAGTATTCGGCAAATTTTTTCAGTATTTTTAAGACCCTATACTAAACTCGTTGCGGAGACAAATCCAACAAATCAAAAACCATGAAAATTGGTTCAGCCCAAATCAAGTTATAAGCAGTCTTCACTTTTACACAACTTTCTTTTATATATATAGATTATTATTTTATATATTCTGCCGAGTCGAATTCGTTTAATTTCGTAAAATATACCTTTAAAATAATTAAATATAATATAATTTCTTACTAAATTTATAGCTAGCATTATTATAATATATATAGAAATCTCTACAGCTTTACTCCTACTCATTTGTAATATCTCTTTCATTTACTCTAAATATTCAATTCAAATTTTTATTTGAAACTCAACTTGACTAAAATAAATGTTTTTACGCTCCATTTGCGCCCAGCATGCACTCAAAACTTTTTTGCCCTGGTACAACTCCTTTGTTCTGCCACGCCCCCAGTACAAGTCCTGCCCTTGACTCATGCCTGAATCGTGCCAAATATTTCCAAAGTTGTTTTTTTTTTATTCTATAATTGGTTTATGGCTTTTGTAGAGCTCGAGAGGAAGCCGCATTTCAATTGCTTTTCTTTTATTCATTCCTTTTTTTTGTGTCGCAAAAACCTAATCAAATTACCAAAAGGCCGACGCGCACGTGCCAAATGCGATTTACATGCGACAACACCATCCACAGCAACAACAACAACAACAACAATAACAACAGCCAAATATTTGGCCCAATGAGCTGAGCTGCCAAGTCGCCGTCAGCTATGCCCGTTGCATTTGTAAGTGCAACCTTCAGTCGAGGGCCCCTACGATGCGTCACCCGCCCAAGAGGCGAGGCTCCGCTATAAAAGCTCCCCAGTTGGTCAAAATCGATATCAAACAACGTTCACAACTTTTACAGTTAACAACCAACCAAAAAAAACCAAACCATCAACATGAAATTCGTAAGTAGCTCCAGCTCCAACTCCTACTCCTGCTCCTGCTCCTGCTCCTGCTCCTGCTGCTGCACCTGCTCCAGTTCCAGTTCCAGCTCTAATTGTGTTCATCTTTCCAGTTCGCCGTCTGCTTCTTCGCTGTTGTGGCTGTGGCCTCTGCCAAGCCCGGCATTGTCGCTCCTCTGGCCTACACCGCACCAGCTGTGGTCGGCAGCGCCGCCTACGTAACACCCTACGCCTCCAGCTACAGCGCACACCAGATCGCCCATAGCGCCGCCTTCCCCGCTGCCTACACAGCCCCCATTGCCGCCGCTGCCTACACCGCTCCAGTTGCTGCCGCCTACACCGCTCCAGTTGCCGCTGCCTACTCCGCTCCTTTGGCCGCCGCTTACCCCGCTCCTCTGGCCGCTGCTTACTCCGCTCCTCTGCTGCTGAAGAAGTAAGGCGCTGACTGAAATGTGACCATGTCTTGACATCCCCAAGTGTAAATAAACAATTTCGCATACATCCAAGTCCAACGGCATTAAATTAGTTGATCGAAATGGAGTTCGAGCTTTGGGTTTGGGCTTTAGGTTCGAGTCATTGCTGGGCTGGCACGACCCACGCCTCAGTGTGCTTTGGCATGGCAACGAGTCTTTTGATACCCTGTAGCTAAAGTCGTTGACTGACATGCTCCCGCTCCAGCTCCTGCTCCTGCTCTTGCTTCTGCTCCTCCTCTTTACAGGATGGCCTGCAAGTCATTAGCTTTTCGCATCTCTGCTGCTATCGGAATTTAAGGATCTGGGCAACGCAGCTGGCGCACTTTCTACTATTTAAAAAGGGATTTCTTTTATATGAAATATGCTTCCTTTCAGCGCTTCCTGCCGCAGCGGCAGTCGAGTTTTCTGCTTGACTCTGCCCCAACCCCCTGCGGCCCTCCCGCCAGCCTGAAAGCGTTGAAAGCTTGAGAGGTGCCCCGGGCAACGCAGCTGGAGACTGATGAAGGCGACAGCGTTGGAGCTGCTGCTGCTTATCATAACTTTGCCATCTTTACCTCTGCCTCTGCCCCTCCCTCCGTCTCTCCTCTCCTCCCTCTGTCCCAGTCAGGCTCTTAGCTCTGCTCATCCTGTGCTCAGGTAGTAAATGCCAAGTAGTTGTAAAGTTTTGTGCAGCGTAAGCGGAAAAGTCTTGTAAAAAAGAAATGCCAAGGGCGTCCGGGAGCAGGAGGCGGCAGAGTGGAGGCAGGCACCCGGGAGTGGGGAGGGGGATAGTGGGGGATAGCATCCAGGATAGTGACTGCAGCACTTTCACAACTTCACGGCAACAGATAGCGTCCAAATTTAATGACCTTTTATTCAATAAAACAGCGTCAAGCTGAAAACTTTGCTGCCTTAATATCGCCGTGTTTCCCGGACCCACTAATGCATTGTGCCCTGTGGACAGCTGCAGAGGGGCATGATTGATGGCAGCGAAAGGCAGCGACTGACTCGCTGGCTACTGCACTCTAATTCCACCTTGACTTTGTCTCAGTTCAATTTGAGCATATGCATGTGTGTGTGTGTGTGAATGTGTATGAATTTGGAGTACAAAATAAAAATCAAATTGAAGCTTGTTCGCTGGTTCATAATAATATTTGAATATTTTTTTAGGCAACATAAAATTTCATTTATTCAGTAAGTTGGCTGCAGAGAAAAGGAGGGAAAGGGAAATGCGAAAAGGCCGCAATCAGAGTGAAAAACTATTTGGAAAAAGCTCGCAGCATAATGAGAAATGCGAGCAAACGTTTTTCTTGCTTCGCTTTTGTCTGTTTTCTGTTTGTTTGTCTGTCTGTCTGTCTGTTTGTCTGTTTGTTTTCAACCCAACTGGCAGAGCAATAAAAATTGAGTAAATAAAATTTGTATTCACTTTATATAATTTTGACGATTTTTCAAATCAGACAAACACACACACGCGCACACCTGACTAGAAGACGCACACACACACACACACACACACACACAGCTGGCACAATCTGCTGGGACTGATGCCGTTTCGAAATAAACACAATCATGTGCAAACGTGTTTTCAAATGGATTACATGAATAAAAGATTTATACACGTAAGGTAAATCAGTAGCGGGTTACCAAGACACACACACACTCACACACACACCGAGTGGAAGCGGGAGAGTCGAAGCAAGACACATTCTGAGACGGCAGCCAAAGGTAAGACGTGCAGGTGAAAATATGCGCACATGTAAGCAAATTTCAAAGGACCAAATGAAAATCCCACAGCCAATGCTGCCAGCTGTGGCAGCCAGCAGACAAGCTACACGCTTTCCATATACATTAACATATACACAGATGCAGATACAGATACAGTTACACACACAGAGATACAGCTACAGATACATCTACAGAGCTACAAAGAAACACGTGTACATACGGCTGCCTTTTTATTGATTCGCTTATTATTCTATATATGTGTAGGTATATATATGTATGTGTGTGTGTGTGTGTGCATGTGTGCGTGTCTTCGTGTCTGTGTTGATTCCATAAATGCTTTTATTTTATTTACAGCAGCCGCCAAAACGAATCAACGCAAAAACAGCGTAAAATTTTGAGACTCACACACACACTCAAACATACACACAGACACACACACACAGTCCGACACACGCACACACGTAATTCAATCAATTTTGTCGTTGAAGATACACCTCTGCTCACTCGCTTATATACATTTAGTACATATATAAAACAAAGCAACAGGCTCAACGCCTCAAGTACGGATAGTAGGCGGGATACGCGGCGTATGAGCCGTAATAGACGGGCGTATACGCATACGCCGCATAGGCCGGATAGTAGGCGGCGGCGGCGGCGACTGGGACAGCAGCTGCCGGCGCAGCGACGGTTGCATAGCCCACAGGCGTGGCGGCCAGCAAATGGGGCTTGGCCGCGCAGCTGCTCAAAGAGAGCAGCAGTGAGAGCTGTCAGAGGAAGAGAGAGAAAGGGAGAGTCACAGTCAGTGAGCGCGAGAGAGAGAGAGCTGATCATACTCACCAACAGCACCTTGAACAGCATTCTATCCAGCCAAGTGTTGCACGTCTGATATCCAAAATTTGATTGACAAACTGAGCAGCCGTGTCAATCATATTTATAGCCTTCGCCCAGTTGGTCGGGCTGCCCACCCGCCCGCCTGCCCGCCCCTCCGATTGGCTGCCCAGCTGACGTCACGCACTCAGCCAGGGGAGAGCGTGAGAGAGTCATTAATATGTCGCTGCCGAGCGCAATAAAGCGCATAAATTATATTGTAATGCTATATCAAATTGCTAAATAAAAGAATCGGCAATAAGAACTACGATATTAAGTGTATGCTAATACACGAATACCCTGGCTAATTTGCTGGCCACTAGTAGCACCCGCAATACTCTTATATATACTATATAATACTCTATAACATATATATAATATGTTTAAGTTGTATCTTAAAATCAACAATCCTATAAAGTAGTTCCAATATTATAGGGAAACATATTCAGCATTCATATATCATTTACCAACACTGTTTGCAGCTTTTACTTACTTTTTCTGCTTTATGACGGTGCAACAGTTTTCCACAGTTTCTTATGATACCTTTCTCAGAGTACCCATCAATCGTTTTGCAACACTACTCCGCGCATACATCCTGTTCAATCCCCCTACCAATGCGTGATACCCCATGCCCACACACACGCACACACTTTGTAGAATTTGCAAACGTTTCGGTTGCCTTCTTTGGACTGTCATTCATTACAAATAGCCCCAGCCAGCGCTGAGCAGCTCCAGTGAGCACCCGCCCCAAGGCCCGCTCTAGCCCTAGCAGCGGGGCCCAATGTCTGAGTTGCCTTTGTGCATAAGATATTTGCGTTTATTTAGACATTGTAAAAATTATAATTATGTGTGCGTGCCATGCATGAAAATGAGCTGAGACAACACAGAGAAAGAGTGTGTACGAGAGAGAGAGAGAGAGAGAGAGAGAAGGAGAGAAGAAATAATACAAAAGAAAACTGAAAAACAAGACCATATTTTGCGATCAATTCTATTAGATAAGCCCTGTGGGCGTTGCCGTCAATCGACACGACTCTAGGCCACAAAATTCGCAAACAGAACAAACAGACGTTGATGATGATGTTGATGATGATGTTTGTTGTTGTCGTTGTTGTTGTGGCAGCTTGAACTACGAAGCGACGCTGGCAGAGGCTGGACGTTTGTGACAAAGTTAAGCAACATGTTTCACAAGCCATAAATAATTAATTTATGCAGCCGCAGACGGAACGCTGGGAACGCTGTGTGCAAAATGCCTAAATATAGACCATAAATTTGCATAGTCAGAAGCTGATGAAGCCATTTGCCACATATATGCATATATGAGAGTGCAGATACATATATCTTATTTACTATACCACACACACATACAGTGTGTGCTGCATATGTATGTAAGCTGAAAACACAAACTAACTTTGATAATAAT